AACGCGTTGCGTCGCGTGTTTCAAGCCAGCGTACTCCACGGTTGTTTTTTTCATTTGTCTCAAAATGTCTTCCGGCGTGTGCAGAAGACAGGAATTCAGACTACGTGAACGACGCCACGTTTGCGAGCTCAGTGCGGCAACTCTGCGCGCTATCCTTTCTGCCTTCTCACCGAATACGTCGGGTGCGTACGCATTACCGTTTCAATAGCAGTTTCGTACTTTTAGTCAAAATACTATGAGGTGTAATTTTTAGTTTTGCTTTTTTTTATATCCAGGGGTATGAAGAGATCAAGCCCAGCTTTCCAGCACAGGCGGCTGCGCTCCTGAAATGGTTCGAGAAGAACTACGTGGTCGGGAAACCCCGGACACTTCCGAATGGCCTGGTCGTGCGCGTGCCGCCCAAGTTTCCCCCTGACCTGTGGTCCGTACACCCGCTCATGAACCAGGGCCAGCCGAGAGGAAACAACTCTGTAGAGAGTTGGCACGCGCGTTTCTTGAAGGTGGTAGGACGTGCACACCCGGGGATCTGGAAATTCCTTGTCTGCGTGGCCGCCGAACACAAGGCCACCGAGGACAAGCTGGAGAGAATGCTTCGCAGCCAAGAGCCGCCCCGCCAGAAAACGACGACCAAAAAAAGGAACGACAGGATCGCTCTTCTGTGCCAAAATCGACGCAGCATGAGCGTACCAGATTTTCTCAGAGCGATTGCTCACCATCTCAAACACTAAAAAGTGTGCACTTGTAACATGGTAGCCTATTGTGTTGAGAAATAAAAGGCATTCAATTCCAAAGCTGATCTATTTTTTTTTTTTGCTCGCTGGGACCTAATTGCAGGTGACCTGTCGGCAGACTCTTTGTGCAGCTTTTTTCTCTATAAAATTTGATAACTAAAAAAAAAAAAAATATATATATATTAAAGCAGACAAGTTCAATTTGAGCATAAAGTTGATCATCAGAGTATGGTTATATTTTATTTTTCGTGCTCTCCTGAAAGAGTATCGTTATATTATAAGCGTGCTGTCATGGCAGTTTTTCGTGAATAAACCAGCTTAAGGGTGCAAACGAGCTGGTGTGAGTTACGCATTACTGCAAACCCCGAGACAGCAGGTAAAAAACGAAAAAGAACTTAAAAGTATTTTATGTGTCTGTCTTTTACCTGCAGTGTCCTGGTTTCTGTCATGTACATGAGCAAAGCTTTCCAATATGTGGCATATCCAATTGTCTTTATTTCTTGGAATTTGACACCACCTTGAGAACAATTTCACAAGTGACAACCTTAGTCTTAACAAATGCAAAATAAACATTTATAAAACACCGTTATGCCCTAAACCTCGGTGCAGAGAAATTCGATGAAACGGCCCTTAGCGATTCGATGAAACGGCGTTCGATGAAACGGCGTTCGATGAAACGTCCGGTCATTCGATGAAACGGCGTTCGATGAAACGGCGTTCGATGAAATGTCCGCTACCCGCCCTAACTCTGGCACTCCTTACCTATAACTACAACCGACTTAAGCAGACTCAAGAACTCCGAGAAGCAATGCGCGTGGTCAGTGGGCTTCCGAAATTCACAAAAATTGAAGACTTACATATTCACTCCAGACTTAACACCCTTAAAGGAAACGGCCCAACTCTATCGTCCTAGATCCACGGAACCGGGAAGGGCTGTCCTCCGCCACGTCGGCTACGACACGGACAGCCTCCCTCAGATTCCGCATCTCAGCCTAGAAGAAACAACAATCCAGCTCACCACCCTCGCCCCGCTGCCCCGGAACATGGGCAAGGATTACGAAGCGCGGCGACAACATCGGGCTAGGGAACATGAAGTCTTTGTCAAAGACTGTACAGTCGACACGAACTTGTTCGTCTACACGGACGCAGCAATTGGCAAAGACGAGCAAGCGAGCATTGGAATACGTATTTTAAATACCACGACCACATCAAGCCGCCGAATCAATGAAGAACGGAGTACGAAGGAAGCGGAACTACAGGCAATCCTTGAGGGTGCACGTGTATGCAAAGAATGCATACACGGATCCGTTCGATTTTATATGGGTCTTCACCGATTCCAGAGACGCCTACGCTGAGTGCCAGGACGTCAGCTCATACAACACGACGGTCCGCCAGCTGAAGACACTTGCTCAGCTCCTGGCCCTCGATGGGCGAACACTTCAGGTTGTGTGGGTGCCGGGTCATTCCGGCATCCACGGAAACAAAGAAGCCCACAACGTGGCCAAAGCAGCGCTAGAATCTGCGCCGGTGCTTCCAAATCAGGACCAACAGGGTGTCAGTCGTGAAGGAGAAAAAAATGTCCTACCCTTCAACCCAGACGCATTTCTGTCCCTGAAAAGGAAGCATCGAAGGGAAACCCTCGCTGCCCAAATACCACCAGACCCTCACGGAACCCTACCGACACGCCTCAGTCGGGCCGATAGGGTAATCCTGCGGCGTATTAGAACGCGCACCGCCATGACTCCGGCTCTTAAAAGACCCGTTGCTCCGGGGCAGGGGGCGCGAGCGCATCCGCAAGACGCGACCATGTTATGATGGCTGAACCACCCAGGTGGCTCTGTAACGTTCGATTTTGCACGTGCCACGTTCGAATGCAAGCACCTGAAGATGCGCGATAACAACCCCCCCCCCCCCCCCCCCACAAAAAAAAAAAAAAGAAAAGAATTATGCAGCTCGCGGCCGCAGCGTCCCATTAAACATTCCTTTCATCTTTGCCTTCTTTCATAGCTTCCGCGAGCACGTATGTTTCATTTTACGTGATAGCGAAGCCGAAGCTACTCGCAAAAGCACGTCCTCCTGAAAGATGCTCGCACTGCACGAGCGCGCGTGCTTGACAGGGACGCTGAAAGCTCGCAGCTCGCTCTTGTAGCCTCTGCCACGCTGGCACTTAGAATGGAACGGAGTAGGAAAAAACTCAAGTGGGGAAGCGTATTGACGCACGTTCGAAATCCGAGCCAAACATTCTATTTTGCTCGCCTGGAGCGCTGTTCAAAACTTGAGAGCTACGGGCCTATAGCTCTAAAGTTTTGAGCAGCGCTCCAGGCGAGCAAAATAGAATATTTGGCTCGCATAGATAAATGCTATTGGACCCCCTCTGAAATAAAATCCTGGCTACACTACCGCTTGCACACCATCTTTAGAAAAAAAGCATTCACAGCACACTTTTCGCATTGGCACGGCAATTTGAAAATAATTACAATATATTATATATAAACTTTTGGCGAGAACTTTTCGTACAATATTTTCCCAGTAAAGGGAGAGGCACAACGGCGCATGCGCGTCGGTCCTCTTGCAAGAACGACGGTCGCTTCCCGCAATGCTTGGAGAGATCATAGAACATGGTGTACCATTTCGATTCACACAATTACTAGCGACCTCCGCACTTCCCCGTGCCCAATTTTTCGGCAGTACCGTGACAGCACCGTGAGTTACGGAGTGAATTTTACGACAGTGTGAAATGCGGGACATTTTGTTGATTCGGAACTTTCTCGTGGGACGCGGGACAAGCCCTCAATGCAGGACAGTCCCGCGAGTCGCGGGATGGGTGGTCACCCTAGATGCCCTACATCGCCAACTACAACATCAACGGATGTCAATTTCAGTGGTGGGAAGAGAGCATAAAGCCTATCGGCGAAAAACACTTAGGGACAAGGACAGAGAGCGCAGGTACTTCAGAAGTGTGCTGTCTGTCCAATCAAGTAGAGAAGTTGTGCTCACAATGATGACAAGCAACTACGTTGTGAGGAGAAGGGACACTTTACAGAGTAAGGCAAACAATTTCAGTGAAACGCGACGAAAAGCACAAATACAGCGCATTCAGCAAGGCGTCGAGGACGCGTCGAGTTGAAGCCACCTTATGGCGGCCGCGTCATGTGACTACAAAGTGGCAGCGCCCATGCGATGGAGGCTGAAGTGTATGTGGTCTGTGCGTGCCACAGTCTGTGGTCCATGGTCTTAGTCAGCATGATCAGGCTTGCGTGATTTATTTTATTTATTTATTAATTCTGTTTACGCCTCGCAGAACTGTGAAAACTTATGGGGTCCAGGTTCCCACTCATCAGGCCCACAAAAATGTACAACTAAGAAGGGCAAAAGAAAGGAAGTTCGATTAGAGCCACTAAAAATGCTAAGCTTTAGAGTAATGACACTTCAGCCGTTTTGGCGCTTAAGATATTTGTTCCCAGTTATTAGAATGACTCTGACATGGACTTTTCGCCTTATTTTGAAAAAAGTGAAAAGAAGTGTACTTCTTGTGTTTTCTCGCTAGTTATATATTCTTTCCCTTTGACTCATGTGCGTGCGCCCCTCCTAAGGCGATTTTGTAAGACAATAAAACGCACGATTGATCGATTAATTTGAAATCATATAAAACAAATTTCCATACTCTATGGCAGCTTCAGAAAAGCAGGGCATACTCCTTGCCACAACGCCCTTCACTCTTCCCCTTTCGAAAGACCTACCCCTCCTCGCCTCCTCTCTTCTCCTCTCCAGCGTTCGTGTTGGGTTTGCGGAAGGCGCTTTTTCCGCTTTTCTATACCGCAGCCAGACTTGAGCGACAGTCATTACAAGCAATTAAATTACTTCTATTCGATTACTTTTCGGAGTAATTTATTAATCGTTTGATTACTTTTATTAAGGAGTCATTATAACAGCTACCAGTTTGCCCCTCCCTTTCTAATGGGGCCCTTTGCTTCTGTAAGATTCGCACGCAGAAATTCTCGAATCAAGTCTGGGACAGGAGGATGGTTTACCGACACTAATGAATCGAGAAAATAAGTAGCTTATAATTCGGTGATTTTAATCCAGTAATTAACAGTATATATATATAAAAAACAAACATTTTGAAACCGACAGGAAAAGGCCTGTCTTTTTGAAATCTGAAGTATTCGAAAAAAGGAACGTTTTTTCGTCAACTATCGCCCAATTAAAATTTGTTTTGCATGTAATCAAGTAATCTAATTCAATACTTTTTAACCAAAAAAAGCAGTTCAATCCTTTCATGGCCCCTTTAAGCGTCCTCCAAGTTTTGCAACATTGGCGACGGATGTCCTGATTACGTTTCTTGAATAACGTGTACAAGAACGCCTGCAACAGGGTGCATAGCATTGTATTAAAATTCAAGAAGTTGCATTTTCGAAATGTAACTATCACCAGACGCGCCCGAACTGAACTGAGCAAACAAATGGCGGCGCCTAGAGAAAAACCGGCTAATAGAGTGCCGACACTCTATAAGCGTAGCCCTATTAGTGACCCCGAGTTCCTTGAACTGAGTGTGCACACGGTGGTGCCGTAGTCGCTGAACGTCCGGGCTGAAGCTCTGGAAGAGTATTCAGCTACGGAGGGGAGGCTGGCTCGTCGCCTGGACTCAACGCGCCTTCTCCTCCAGCTGCAGCGCCCTCCTGCAACAGGTTTAGGTGACGAAGGAGTGAACGCATTTTAGAAATGCCACGGAAACAGTACATGCATGGCCTGCCCATGACGTCATCATACCGTACCGATGGTCATCCATGCAGGGAGTATTCACCAGAAGCTAGAGCCGATACGTATAAAAGTAGTTCGGCTCCCCGCGGAACGTTATCAATTTCTCTTTTCATGCGTTGAATTAAGATATATGTCTTACATTAGCTTTATGTTATTTTAACAAGACGTAGACGTTTCAATGCCAAAACCGTCGTTTCTTCGTTCGACAACCAAATATTGTACAAACTATTTCGTGCAACGCATAAATAAAATGGAAAACTTTTTTTTTTTTTTTTTTTTTTTTAAATGTGACGCAGCACCGCAGCTTGCGTCTGCTTTTTCGCCAACGAGCTGAGACGGACCCGTCTGCGGCTTGCGGCGTATTTCGTCGAGCTTCAGCGTTTTTGCCGCTTTGGGGCGAGTCGGGGTTCCACCGATGTTGACATCCTCAGGCAGCCTCATAGAGGCACCCGTCGTTTCGCCGACAAAGAGGCTCTTGAGTGTTCTTCAGACTTAACTATATACTTCAGAGTCTTGGATCACACACTCGTGACTGCTTACGACCGGAGAGGCTGGGCCCTCCGGAGCGTTCTGCGATGGTCTATTTATGGCGGTAACTCAATCTACAGGCCCTAAGGATCCTAAAAATCATAAAATTACGGTCATGCGCGGCGGATTTCCCTATTAAAATTGCTATCAAAGTCCCCGGCACGCCCCCCTTTCTGAGCTGACCCCGGAAAACGGGAGGGGCATCTCTTTACGCGTCAGCCAATAGCAAGCGAAGGATTCCGGCGTCGCTGCGCGTCACCAACGCGGCCGACCGCCGACCCGCGGAGGAATCTCTCGAACACGTGCGGATCTTCGTCAAGGAGCCCGGACTTTGTGCTCGGCAGTCGTCGTTCGTCGCACCGCACCGTCGCGCTGCTACTGCAATACGCAGTCGCATTCCACAGATGACAAGGAAAAGTTTGACTCGTTGACGTGAAAGGATGGCAAAGCTGGCTTCAGAGTCGGGATCCACGGGAAGAAGGAACACGTGTCCCGCAAACTCACGCCTGAAGACGCCCCGGGAAGCAGACGAGCTGACGCGCCGACGCATCACCCCCTGGCAACAAGCTTGCGAGGAGAAAACGTAGTTCGCTGGTTTTGGAGCGATAATTGCGGACTATGTTTCCCGCACCACAATAAGTTTACGTTTCTCTCAAACTCTAGTTTACCACAAGCTTAAAAAGTGTTGCAATAATAACGTTCGCATTCACCGCGAGATGAAGCATTTCCATTGGTCAAGTTTTAGCGATGGGCAGGGAATGGGAGATTGTCTTTCAAGAGAAAATAGTCCCGATATATTTCTACTGCCATCTGCTTAATAAACGGTTTTGTAATCTAAAACTTTCTATACATATTAACTTGCACCTACTACGCAATATAACAACATAAACAGACGATCGCAGAAAGCTCCGGAGGGCCCCTTTAACCTCTCCGCAGCAGCGCAGCCTGACGTTAGCCATCAGGAAAGGCTTAAAGGGACCATGAAGGCAGTTTCGAAGTTTTATTCGACGATTGAAATGGATGTCAGGCACGTCTCAGATACTGCTGACCAAGTTCTAGCCCGAACAGAGGTTTGGGCGCCGCACCAATCGAGCAAACAGGAGCGGTAATAATAGCGCCGGGAACGATGCCTGAGACCCCACCGAGGAGGCGGCAGAAAGGTGAACTAAAGTGCGCCGTCGAAGCGTGACGACAACGGGCTCCTCGTCTGGCGATTGGTTCAAACGATAGACGCGCTCTTGGTTTCGATTTCGGTGGTGAGATGTGATGAAAAAAGTTTATTTGAACGTTGGATAATATTTTGAAGTTGTAGTGGGAATTCATATGTCTCATACCCCTATTGAAAATTCCATCAAGCTACGTAATTTGGGACACTGACTGCCAGTCAGCAGCCTTGGTGGAACGTGGTGGACCATCAGACGTCATCTGATGGTCCATCAGATGACGTCTGACTGCCACTGCCAAGGGAATTTCATCATCAAGCGCAGCATTTATATAAGAGTAAAGCTATACGCACTCATAAATATCGCCCAATGCCTCGATAAAACAAAATGTTCGAGGAAAAAAAAAAAAAAAAAAAAAGTAGGACCACCGCGGATCGAACCCGCGACCGCTTCCGTACAAATCCGAAACACTAACCGCTATGCTACGCCACCACTACAGAAGCTCGATTTGACGATTCGTTTTATACGAGATGCTTCGGCTGCAAATGCAGTTCAGCCGTCAGCATGTTATGAAAGCACTCGTACATCACTCGCCGTACTTCAGTTCTACTCACCTGCCATGTAGAGTACTTTCGCGTCGTAGAATGATCCTTTTGTTCGCGCGTCATCGGCCCAGTAGACCTGGTACACCTTGTCGTCTTTAACTACACCGCTAAAGTCCCTTACATCGTCGGAACTCACAACAGGCTGGGTCTTGTCGAGTAGAAATTCTACTAAAACATAAGACATTGTAGAGCCCGGGCAGGATCGACAGGCTGGAGCAAGCGGGCAAACAAAACGAGTCGAGAGCGATCGTTCATGAAAGCTCGGCGAAGCCTCCATGGGCGAAGCGAAGTGCGAAGTGTCGCGTTCGACGCTTCGGCGGCTTCGGCGGGCTTCTGATCAAGGTTGTCGGTCGGTTGCGTGTCACATCTCTAACGTCAGCGGTTTTATGGGCTCACGTCCCGAAATCGTTTTCTCGTGCATAAATGACTTTTCGTATTCATAGACTTGACGAAATAGTGGTATCCGACCGAACTTTACGTCCTTTGACCGTACGTCTGTCTGCACGTCAAAGCTTTCTGACGTACAGTCAGAGACAATCGATGTACAGTCAGAATCACCACCAGGACATCCTGATGGCATTTCGCGGCGGCCGACTGCCACCAGGAAACCATCAGAAAGCCGACAAGCGGGGTCTGACTGGAGTTTGACTGTCGGTCAGAGTAACTTGTTGTCCAATCAGACATGCTTGACGTACAGTCAGGCACAGTCAGCGGTCCACTAAAAAACATTGACTGCCAAACAGCGTTACATTGATGGATTTTTCCTTCGGTACCGTGTATAAAAGCATAATCTGAAGCGATCCCTCCGTTTGTCACTGGTTGAACGCATCCCGCACTGCTACCTCGGGCGCGTAACAAGCATAGAGCAACCATGGACAAAAAAAAAAAAAAAAAAAAAGAGGTACGAGCGCCGGGGGCGGCGGACTTTTGGTTTTGGTTTCGTGCGTCGTCTCATGTTCGCTTTGCAAACTGGTGTTTCACCAATCATGCCGTGTTTATCTGCAGTAGTAGGTTGCGCGAAAGGTCGGCTAAAGACGTGCGGTCGATCGGGCGACGTTAGTTTGCATAAACTGCCGACCGATGCAGCAATGCTCATCGGTCGCCAATCCAGACTTCTGCGTCCTTAGCAGCATCTCCCGTTCAGTCGGCGTGAGGTCGCTGAACAGGAGCTCAAACTCGTTTGCGAGCGCGGCGTTGTCGTCCATTTCTTCCAGGTTTTCTTCACCGACCGCCGTGCACTAGAGCAAACCACGGGAACCACACTGAGTGTGCACTAAATCCTACCGATGCCGACAGTGCTCCCTGACGTCACTTCTCTTTCCAGAGGCAAAAAAGGGAAGAAATCTGAATGTTTGTTTCGGTTTCGCAAATTTATTTGCAGGTACAGAAATAAGTGTCACAACGTTCTAGAAAAAATTGTGTGGCATGCCAGGAACCCAATGCTTCGAAAAACACCTTCTTAAAAAAAAAAAAAAAAAAAATTAAATTGCCTTCATGGTCCCTTTAAGGAACCACGAAACAAATTTTTGGATCATATAAAAAATTTAGATTGGGATTTTACTAATAACATATCGTTTAGTGCGAGAAAAGAAAAAAAAGACAGTCGAAAGTCGAAAGCGCGTTTTTCGGTATGAAATTTTGAAATATAGCAGACTACTTTGTACCTCCCTTCCTCCAAAAGCTCTCTCCCTTTTCACCGTGATACATCCACTGTACCCGAAGCACGTCAGTCGGCCCCCAGCACTGCGTCACTATAATACTCCGTTCGCCCCTAAGCTGACAGTGCGGTGGCAGCTAGGCGCTTGCCGGACCAATCAGCCCCCTCCTTTTCATCACTTAACCCTGTTCTCTGCTCGTGCGCACCATAGAGTTATTACAATAAACACTAGAGGCTCAGCTGGCGCTAGTGTCTACGGGACTTCCGATTGCAAATTGAAGCAGACAGCAAGCAGTCTACTTTTGCAGTCTCCTGTGTACCCGAAGGAAAAATCCATCAATGTAACGCTGTTTGGCGGTTTGGCAGTCAATGTTTTCTAGTGGACCGCTGACTGTGCCTGACTGTACGTCAAGCATGTCTGATTGGACAACAAGTTACTCTGACCGACAGTCAAACTCCAGTCAGACCCCGCTTGTCGGCTTTCTGATGGTTTCCTGGTGGCAGTCGGCCGCCGCGAAATGCCATCAGGATTAGGGATGTCGCGAACCACCCTAGGTTCGATTTCGAAAGGTTTCGATATTTGCGAAGCGAACTGAGGTTCGATTTCGAAAAATTTCGATATTTTCGTACCGACCGAGGTCCGATTTCGAAAAATTCGCAACTTTTGTCCACAGCGGAGTTTCGAATTCGAAAATTTCGAAGCTTTCACGGTTTCTAAAATTTCGAATTCGAATATTTCGAATATTTTTTTACTTCAGGTTCGATAAATTCGAAGATTTCGAAATTCTTTGTAAAAAAAATTCGAAAACTTCGAACGCTTCGAATTTTTATAGACATGAAGTTCGAACAATTCAAAGATTTCGAATTTCTTTTGGCATAAAGTTCGAAAAGTTCGAAAGTTTCGATTCTCTTTTAACGCTAAATTCAAAAAAAAAAAAAAAAAAACTTTGAAGATTTTGAATTTT